TTCCGTGAAGGATGATAACCGAAATTGCATTTTTGATTCGTCGAGGATACTTTCGAGGATGCAGGGAAGCCTCGTCTTCAAGTACGAGCGCGGTTTAGCTATAGGGAAGAAGGATGGGACGGAACATCTTAGAAAATTAAATCCCATCCTTCTCTTCCCTTCTCCCTTTTCCTTTGCCTCTCTTTTTTTCGTCTGTCGCACCATAATCGACGTTTACGTGTTGGAGAAGCGCGAGTTTATCGTCGGTGAGGCTCAAAGACGACAACAGCCTTCCTAAAATCCTTGTGAAACGCATCGCATCTGCTGCGCTTAATTAACTTTAATTAATCCACACCGCCCGGTGATTTCGCATCTCTCTGAGATTAAGAGCACCGAGATTAACATACCGGCGGCCTAGCAATTCAGCATGTGTTTCTCGCGAATAGGTGTATGTGTGTACGTATGTGTAAAATTTATGCTTGGAGAAATAACTTTCTGGGAACATATTTGGAAGGGCAGAAATCGTCGGAATGTGTATTAAAATTTTTGTTGATGCATATTCGCATTATTGTTTAATCATTCATTATCGGCGTAATCGCGTGCACTTTGTTAATTAATACCAAATAATTACATTAATATATAAAATTAAGAATAAGAAAATGATACATAATTTTAATACAAAAATATTTCTGATTTTTCTTGCTGGGAAAAATCATAATATAAATTTATATTTAATTTTGTCTCTCTCTTCTTTATATTTGTACTGTATAAAAGTAGCTTCATAGTACATCTTCAGCAATTCTGTGTATTTGTAACCGCAGACAATCTAATTATGGCGTAGTCAGTAAATAGCTAGATCGTCGTTAAACTCGCAACTTCGCGTCACGTGTGTTTACGCGTGTCGCAGCACGTATATGTGCACGTGTGTTTGTATTTGTAACAGATCTTGTAAGCCGATTACGAGTATATATCATCGTTGTAGCCGGTCGGGTCGATTTTCTGGTTCGATACTTTCTTCCTCTCGGCTGAGCCGGTCGTCTTGTCGTCTTACGAGCTCGTCCGCGATCTTGGTTCTTCATTTGCCGCTTCGTTGAAGATCCGCTCCTGAAAATACGGTTGCGTGGAAATTACTAAGCGATACTTGTCGATCGATAGATACAGCGAGATTTAAGTTTATCGTATTATCTAAAACTCCAAAACTATAATACGATCAATATCTTTGTCTCCTCTTTTCCAGAATAAGAAATGTAATTATTTAAACACAGAGAAAACATTTAATTTTAAATTAGATTGCATTTGATCTCTTAGATATCTAAAATATTTAATTTTAAATTATTTATAATTTTCGTTTAAGCCCGTCATGAGACTCTGTGCTTTCAGTTTACATGTAAATTCAGCCATGAGAAATTCAGATAGTAACCGATAGATTGTTGGGACCGTGAGTGTCCTCGAACGAGTTTTGACTTGTGTCACTCTCGAAACGGCATTTCGTCTAAATGAAGAGCCATTCTCGCAGCCGCATTTGCAAGCCGCGAGGGATTGCTGCCAGGCATGCCCGATGTAAAGTGTAAATCGCACGTGCAACGAGTTGCGGCAATCGATTGCGCGGATGTAGAACGCGCTCCAATTTGCGCGAGAATTGCACGTGTAAGCCGGGGTCTTGTGGCAGTGCACTAGTCCGTCGGGACGAGGAACGCGATTGTTGACATTCCAATAATTGTTCTTTACTTTCAACACACTTATAATTTTTCTGTCTGAAACACGAAGAGGAGAAGATTTACAAAGGAGAAGAAATTGAAAAACGTACAGTTACATCACAATTCTATTACGTCTGAAATCTTAACTATTTCTTTATAATCATTTCTAGTTATTAATTTCTTTATAATCATTAAATTATATCAATTTTTCGTAATGTACTAATGTATAAATTATGTCTTTATTTAAGGGGTCTCACCACCCCTGAGGTTTTAAAATGATATCTTAGGTTTGGGATTTTTTTTGTAGGTAAATGTAGGCCATTCCGCCGCCATTTTGTGCATAAAAAAATAAAAAAATATTTTTTTGTTTCTTATATATACAACAATGTCCTCTAAACAGCTTTTAAATAAAGTATCTATTTACCC